CAGGAACAGGGAATATAGGTAACAGGGAACACAAGTACCAGGGAACATAGGTAACAGGGAACACAGGAACAGGGAATATAGGTAACAGGGAACACAAGTACCAGGGAACATAGGTAACAGGGAACACAGGAACAGGGAATATAGGTAACAGGGAACACAAGTACCAGGGAACATAGGTAACAGGGAACACAGGAACAGGGAATATAGGTAACAGGGAACACAGGAACAGGGAATATAGGTAACAGGGAACACAGGTAACAGGGAACACAAGTACCAGGGAACATAGGTAACAGGGAACATAGGTAACAGGGAACACAAGTACCAGGGAACATAGGTAACAGGGAACATAGGTAACGGGGAACATAGGTAACGGGGAACATAGGTAAAGGGGAACATAGGTAAAGGGGAACACAGGTAACAGGGAACACAGGTAACAGGGAACACAGGTAACAGGGAACATAAGTACTAGGGAACATAGGTAACAGGGAACATAGGTAAAGGGGAACACAGGTAAAGGAGAACACAGGTAACAGGGAACACAGGAACAGGAAACATAGGTAACATGGAACATAGGTAACGGGGAACATAGGTAACGGGGAACATAGGTAACGGGGAACATAGGTAACGGGGAACATAGGTAAAGGGGAACACAGGTAACAGGGAACACAGGAACAGGGAATATAGGTAACAGGGAACAAAAGTAAAGGGGAACACGGGTAACAGGGAACATAGGTAACAGGGAACATAGGTAACAGGGAACACAGGTAACAGGGAACACAGCAACATGGAATATAGGTAACAGGGAACACAGGTAACAGGGAACACAGATCTCATATTGCAGAAACGAGACGATTTAAATTTCGTCAGGGTTAAAAACCGTAGAAACACCTTAAAACTGATTTGGAGCTGAGTTGTGTGTTTTGTTGCAGTGTGTGYTTAATAACTGTTGTTGTCGATTGTGTTTGCTCTTGTTTTACAGGACAGTAAAGATGCTGAACAGTACTTCCTGCTCACCACCAGCTGTAGCTGTTGGGACAGGGTGAGGAGGAGGAGGAGGAGGAGACGTGAAGAAGAGGAGCGATCGGCTCGGAGTCACGGAGTGGGAACTTCAAACACGCAAGGACTTTTAACACCCATGGGTAAAAGTTACTGAGCACCTGCACATTTTCCTCATTTTACAATCGGTGTGAATTTTTATAAATTTATATAATTATAGAGTAGAATAGAACAGAGCAGAACTTGTTTTCGAAATAGGTTTAGTTTCAAAACTTGTCCTTTTCTCTCACTACAGATTTTGTCTTTCCTCGATGCTTCCACTGGATTGTTGGCCTTAACCTTTGAGCACCCGGCCACCRCCTCTGGTTTTAACGACTCCCACCCACACCCAGATTCCCACTTTGAGCCTGCGAGGCAGGGGGAACCGCAGACCACCCTTCATGGCAGCGGCACTCTAGGGCTGCCATGGCAGCTGCTGCCGCTGATGCCTCACACTGTATTACCGCACTGACGCCGGAGGAAGAGAGACGACGCACTGCCGCCAAGCTGTTCCGGAYCGCCGCCCCGCTGCCACGGACAGAGGAAGAGAGGGAAGAGAAAGAGGAGGAAGCAGGAAGAGTGAGTGGGAGCGAGTGTCTGGTGTGCGGGGCTCTGTTCGCCTCACAGGAGAAGCTCCGGCTTCACACCTCCAGTCACACGGGAGAGAAACCTTTCCACTGCTCACAGCCGCWCTGTCCCAAGGCCTTCAGCTCCAAGTACAAACTCTTCAGGTATTCATCACGTGGGTCACCGTATGCACTTTTACCTGAGGTCCCAAACACACGACTCCAGAAAATACTTACATCCTGACTAAAAGCAGACTACAAAAAAAAGCTGACATCTATAAGGTGCCTTTTGGCTCAATATTATSAAAACAGGGTAACTCAGGGAAGGACCCGGCTTACACGGTCTTGGTGGGCCGGGTCCTTGAATAACCGCAAAGACCAGAAGAAAGWGTCTGTGAATTTGGACCGTCTAGCCTTCTACTTCATTCCCGCCCTTACCCCAGTGCACATCCTGTCGCCTCTCACCCGTGACGATGCTAAACAAGCAAAAATAGGTCGAAATTAGCTAAATATCAATCACATCAAAACAAGGATGAAGTCTYAAAGTGGGATGTGGAGAAAAACGCAAATATATTGTTTTGATTAAAACATTTGCAAAAATTGCATTTTGTCAAAACATAATGAATAAATGTCTTATCAATGTATCATTTGAATGAACTGTCTGAAATATACTGTATTTATTCATGTATAATACTAGAAATTTAACCCTAAAAATCATCTATAAAGTGGGGGGATAGTATTATACACGGGTTATTGATAATTAGATTATTATGCTTTGCAAGCTCAAAAAATGATGATCGTATTATACATGAATAAATACMATAAWCATAAAACAACACTTTGAAGCACTTTTTTGAGCAGTAGCAACAAAAAAGCTGATTTTGAGGAAAAACGCCTTAATTCCGTGCCACCTCCGGGTCGGGGAGGAGGTCCTGCCCCAAGAGGAGGAGTTTAAGTATCTCAGGGTCTTGTTCACAAATGAGGGAAGAATGTAGCGGGAGATCAACAGGCGGATTGGTGCTGCGTCTGCAGTGATGTGGGTGTTGTACCGGTCTGTCGTGGTGAAGAGGGAGCTGAGTCAGAAAGCGAAGCTCTCGGTTTACCAGTCGGTCTACGTTCCTACCCTCATCTATGGTCAKTGACTTTGTGTAGTGACCGWAAGAACGAGATCGCAGATACAAGCGGCTGAAATGAGTTTCCTTCGCAAGGTGTCTGGGCTCTCCCTTAGAGATAGGGTGAGAAGATCACCCAGGAGGGACTCAGAGTAGAGCCGCTGCTCCTCCACGCCGAGAGGAGCCAGTTGAGGTGGTTCATCTGGTTAGGATGCCTCCTGGACTCCTCCCTGCTGAGGTCTTTRGGGCACGTCTCACTGGGAGGAGACRCAAAGGAAGACCCAGGACACATTGGAGGGACTATGTTTCTCGGCCTGGGAACACCTTGGGATTCCCCCAGAGGAGCTGGTCCAAGTGGCTGGAGAGAGGGAAGTCTGGGTCTCTCTGCTTACCCTGCTGCCCCCGAGACCCGATCCCGGATAAGAGGAAGAAAACGGACGGACGCCTTAAAATTTTGAGATTTTCCATGCGAGCTAGCCATAGGCGTCGCAACAATAGTAAATGAAGGGGATATGTGTCCCCCCACTTTTCAAAAGTATCTGGACCCCTCCTCCACATTCATSTCATCAGTTCACKCAGTGCTGTTTTTGTTTTGATGAGTCCATTCCACTTGATCGATAGGAGAAAAGTCATCCCACTTAATGTCCGCTCCGGGTTTTCCTGGTTGCCTCCAACCAGTCAGCACCGCTGCCTTCAGCCAGGTACCAGATAGGAGCGAGTTGTTGGGGGCCTGCCTGCACCGGGTTAGACAGGAGGAAGACGGAGCTGAATTCCAGGAGTGCAAATATTCAACCTAAAAGTAACTTCTAGCCATAAATAGCCTGAAAGATAGGCACCCTCACCCATTACAATCTGGGGTATTCAGATACTTTATTTTCCATTTAGTTTCTGAAATAAAAGGGTGTCCTGAGTTTTTTGTCTCGTTTTCTTTATTGCTTCGTATCATCTATTAATCTTTTTCGAACACAGTTGAAATTTAACGATGACGGAGGACGTTGTACCATCTTTTCTTAGTCACTTTTACAATGTCTCTGTCCTTACAGGCATATGGCCACACACTCTCCGCAGAAGACCCATCAGTGCTCGTTCTGTGAAAAAATGTTCCACCGCAAAGACCACCTGAAGAACCACCTGCAGACACACGACCCCAACAAAGAGGCCTTCAAGTGTGAGGAGTGTGGGAAGCACTACAACACCAAACTGGGATACAAACGCCATGTGGCCATGCACTCTGCAACTGCAGGGGATTTGACTTGTAAAGTGTGCATGCAGAGCTACGAGAGCACGCCTGTCCTCCTGGAGCACCTCAAGAGCCACTCGGGGAAGTCCTCGGGCGGCACCAAGGAGAAGAAGCACCCGTGCGACCACTGCGACCGACGTTTCTACACACGGAAAGACGTGAGACGGCACATGGTGGTCCACACGGGTCGGAAGGACTTCCTGTGCCAGTACTGTGCCCAGCGCTTCGGCAGGAAGGACCACCTGACGCGCCACGTGAAGAAGAGCCACTCGCAGGAGCTGCTGAAYATCAAGACGGAGCCGCCGGACATGTTGGGTCTTTTAGCGAGRGGCTCTCCGCCGTGTGCCGTCAAGGAGGAGCTCAGCCCGATGATGTGCAGCATGGGGTCCAACAAAGACCCCATCATGAGCAAACCGTTCTCCAGCGGGGGGGCGCCTTTTCCAATGAACATGTACAACCCCCACCACCTCCAGGCCATGTCGAACTCCGGGGTGGGCCACCCACACCCGTCCCTCATGCCCAACACTTTATCCGCAGCTATGGGCATGGGCTGCCACATGGAGTCCCCTGCCTCCATTCACCCACACTCCCATCARCACCACCACCACCARCACCARCACCACCACCATTCCCCTCCCCCACACCATCAGCCTGCGGCTCCCCAGCAGCAGCACCAGCCCCAGCCGGTGCCCAAATACCAGCTGGGATCTACCTCATACCTGCTGGAAAAGCCCTTGAAAGTGGAAATGGAGAGTTTCCTCATGGATCTGCAGAGTGGCCTGCCAGGCCCAGTTCCATCTGCAGAACCTCACGCTGCTGCCTCGTCCCCCAAGGACGGACTGGAGCCCACCTCGGGGCTGGCAGATGAACTTTGCGGGGATCCCCTCTTGTCGAAGAGCCCTGCGGTGATCGCCGAGTCTTTGTGTGCTGCTAACATGGACTTCTCCCACCTGCTGGGTTTCCTGCCCCTGAACCTTCCTCCATACAGCGCCCCCATGAGCACGGGAGGTCTGGTCATGGGCTACACCTCATCCGCGACCTCCTCTGCACCTTCCTCCTCTGCCTCAGCGCTGCACGTTGCCGAGCCCCACGCAGTCGCCGCCACGGCACCTCTTACCTCTCTACAACCACAACCTCAGGAGCAGCAGAGCTCCAGTCTAGGCCTGGGGTCCCTGCACCCACTGCCACCAGTGTTCAGCTCCAGCATCAGCACCACCACGCTGCCTCGTTTCCACCAGGCCTTCCAGTGACTGAGGCAGCTGCTGCCCAGCCAAGATGGCTGCCACACCAGCCCGAGCTCAGCTTGGACATCCTGGGCTGTCGGTCTTTACCAGGCCTGATCAAAGAGTTGGAGAATTAGAATAAAGAATAAGTACACAACAAACACTTAGAAGCCTTAAATGAAAGTGCGCACAAAAGCTTTTGATTGAGCCTTAAAAGGAAGTTGAACCCCTTTGAGCAATAAGGAAAACACAAGAAAAGAATTTGAAGCAGCTTTTATTTGGGCTTTCCCCCTCCTTATTTTATAGCTATAACAACGTATTAACCCATGTTTTTTCTTTTAACTTCTATATCTTTTCTCTCCCTRTCTCACACGTTTTTAGTAGTTATAGAGGGCAGGATCAGTAGGCCAAAAGGCGTGGTGCTGCATACTTTCGAAAATAATATAAAAAAAATTAAAAATCAAAGATAAATTTTAGTGGAGATTATGTCTTGTTGTGACCCTGAAAAATATAGTTTGAAGTGGATCTTTTGTTTTACTTAATTCTCTTTTTTAAAATGTAAAAAAAAACAGCGTCTCGAGTTTTGAAACCGCTGATGCCAATAACTCAAACTGCCARGATTTAAATGGAAAACGGAGATTAGTGTGGGAACAATGAAATGTAGATGAACCTTTACTTATTTTTTTATTCCCCCCCACAAACATGGCTTAGCCAGAAAACAACCTCAGGCTTTAAAAAAGTGCTCTTCAAGCCAAGTTAAAACCAATCTACTCTTAGAGTTAAATAATTTCGGAGTAATGCAAATTGAAAAATAAGACGTGAAAGTTTGAACTCAGTAACTGCTTTTTAAAAAAAATTGTTCCTCAAGAGAAGCACTTTTTTGTTGTTGTTTCTTTTCGCGGAAAGCACTTCACTTTTTGTTTCCTCCTTCCTCAAACCTTTGTACAAACCCCAGCACGTGCCAACAAAGAAAAAAAACAACAAATAATTCAGTCTTTGTTTTTAAAATTTTAAACCCTTGTGTTTGCACCAAAACAAGAAGTTCCTAACTGAGTGCGCGGATTACAAATCCATGTGCGCAGTTCGCAAAATATAACCTCTGTTTTTATTTCCACACCTAGCTGGATCGGTGCGTACTTTTGTAAGTTCTTGAAAGTAGAACGACTGCTTTTTCTCCTAAGAAATACCTTTTAAAAGTTCCCGTAATCGTAATATTTGCAGCGGTTTTCTTAGCTGCCCGACATATCTATTAAAAATAAATAAATATATATATACATCTATATTTTTTTGAGATATACTCCAAACTCATCTTTAGGCAGTCTTTTTAAAAGATGCGTCATCATGGTAATGGTGAACCCTGAGATATGTGAATGGCTATATAAAATGAAAAATTAAAAAAAACATAGGAGTTACAGTGATAGATGAGTAAAAATGTGTTTAAGAATGTTATTGCAGTGTACGAAATATCTCATAAATGAATATTATTATTGCTTATCTCTATAAAGGTGTATTTTAGGTAGATGTATTAAAACTAAGTGATGTTTTTGATGTCTGGCAGGTTTACATTTGTGTGTATCTTGCATTTTTCTTTTGATCAAGAAAAGGATGAAGTATTAGCTTTCCCCACTCTTAAGTTTTCTGTRGAACCTGATCCTTACTTTTACATGTACTTGAGTTAGTTTAGTGGAACCAGATCTGTGGATGGGAAATATTTATAGAAAGAAGGCTGTTTAGTGGCTACAGTTAGGATTTGAGCTAGAGGTAGATTGTGTTGTAGGGATGTTTATGCGGACGACCTATAAGTATTTCAAACTGTAGGTCTTGGAGTTCTAACCTTTCAAGAGCCTCTAAAATAATCGCAGCCCAAAGTTAACCATAAGCCTCAAAATAGGTGCCTTTTTAAATGATTCATTTGCTGCTGTATTTRCCTATTAGTGTGTTTACTGTGTTTTTAAAATATGTTTTAGTGCTGGCTTTGCCACTGTTTTATTCAACGTTTGGAAATTCACGTAAAGTAACAAATATTGAAACTAAATTTGAAGTCACTTTACTTTCACGATCTATTGTTGTCAGTAAATTGTTATAAAGTAACACAATTCCTTTTGTTTTAGCAGATTTTTTATTTGCTGTACGGTGTTTTTACGTTTTTACAGCAAGTAAAAGCACCGTACGGTAAAAGTACAAAGCTTTTAGTTATCATGGAGCAGGGAAACTCAAACTTTTTGGGTTTGGGGACCCCTTACAAGGTCAAAAAAATCCCAGGGCCCCCCTCATAAACGCCATGCTGTTTTAAAAGATAATTTGCTGTCCTTCAACCCCTAAATGCCGTGGGAATATAAATTTTTATTTGGTTTATTATGTTTGTTTTAATAGTTCATTGTTGCCAATGCATTTAAAAAAAACCAAATTAGCAATTTAGTGAAGTTTTTTGAGGGCCGCCAGTGGTTCCCAAACTTTTTATCTTCTGACCCACAAAATATCCGTGGCCAAAACTTGTGACCTCAAATATTACTGG